TAGAGTTCAATAGTACATCCTAGAGTGATGAGTAAAAATGTTTTCAGATACGCTGAAAGGTTCCAGGGGGACGAACCACCTGGGACTGAGAACCACTGGGTCGTTAGGACATGACAGGGCCTTTCAGGGCCATGGAAAGATGTATAGGAGATCTCTATGATCTGACTTGCATTTTAAAAAAATCACTCTCTCTTTGAGTGCATGCAGGGAGACCAATGGGGAAGCCATTGCAAGAACTCCACTAGAGGGATGATGGAGATTTTGACTAAGAGAGTGGCAGTAGAATAGAAAAGAGCTGATGGATTCAGTAAGTATCAGGAAGTAGAATGCAAGTAGGATTAATAATTTTGCCATGCATATTTTTTAAGACCACTTCACTGTTCTCTCTGACCCTGCTCAAGGCAAACCAGCAGAACAAGGTTTTCTGTTATTTCTCACCTGATTTCAACTGACTGCATCCTTTTTCAGATTCAGGCGACTGCTTTGCTTATTACTTATTGCTTATCACTGTAATTTCTAAATCTGAACTTTTTATTAAGGTTGACCTTGGAATTAGCCATGAACTGAAGGACGTTGTTTGCATTTCCTCTTGAATTGAAACTTGGGCCACACATACTCCTTTTGATTATCTGCCTATTCTCTTTTTCTGGGGGCAGGATTACTAGAAGCTCATCAAAGCAGTTCCCATCCTTACATTGATCTCCATTTTACAAGGGAAACTCAGGAAGACTCCCACATCTAAAGGAAAAAATATTATTGTTGAGTCTTCCACAGTCTGAGCATCTGCTGAAGGCAACAGAATAGTCTTCTAGTTATTGCACAGAAAAATCAACAATAGTCAGAATATATTTATTACCCTACTTAGTGGAATTCAGTAACCTTCTCATTATGCCCATCCCCACACAGTACAAGGCCTTTTCCATTAGTAAAAAAGAACAAAAGGTCATTGATTCCCTGCCATGTCTATCCACTAATTGGAGAGACCCTTTACTAGGTGAGACTGAACATAATTGGGACACTGCTGAATCCCACTACAAATAAAAAACATAGAATTTCATTCTTGTTGGTTTTCCCGTGAGTGAAACACAGATCATCAGCAGATATTTAAAAGGGTAGCAAGAATATTACTGATGGATTTTCTAAATGTGGGATGCCAACTCCAGTGGTTCTACTAATATTCCTCATATTAAAGAACTTTACTGAACAGGTAGCCACTGGGGACTTGCTTCTGATCCAAGGCCCTTCTGATTATCTAGTTTGACAGTTATGCTATTATTCAATGGCAAGCTCAGCAAATAATATTGATACTGAGAAGAAGACTCTTTCCTTCAGTAAAGTCACCAAGGCTTCCTTAAAGCCAAAAATGTTCTAGGAACAACTGAATAAGACCTTTTGAAAAAGATCTGTGGGTAAATAAATATGCACAGTAACAAAGCCAGTGGTACCCATTTCAATCTAGAGCTGTATGTACACCACCGGATTCAGACATCTGAATACAGCCTGAAGTTACAGAGAGAAGGAGACACCTTCTTCTCTGCAGGTGAAGCCAGCTACCAAATTCCATTGCAAATCCCAACATTCTGCACCCATTTCTCTTTTCTCCTGGGCAATGACAAGGCCCTAGCGCCACGGGTTCATTGAAGTCAGAGCCCAATGTTGTCTAGTTTCTTCCTAAGGAAGTTACATGTCATGCTTTTTACTTGAATATGGAGTCCATTCGAAATGACAAAATGAACAAAGCTTAAAGGAAAATTAGACAAGCAAGTAGGCAATGTGCTGCAGCTTCCTTTGAAAGTGTTTGTTGTCATGGTGGCCATTTTTTCATTTGTTGAGATAATAAACAAATGAGCTTGTTCGAAAGCCCATGGTCATCCCCATTTTTCAAAAAGGAAAGTTCTTTCTGTCAGTACCACAGGTAGTGGACTACAAGAAACTAGAAAGTTAATATTTCAATGATGCCTGAAAAGGACAATCTTGTGTGCTGTGCAGAGGCAACGTGGTGCAGAAGAGAGAGCACAGGGGTGGGAGCTGGACATCTTCTCCTCTTGTGTGGACCTGGGCATCTTTACTTAGATGGCAAGATAGTCAACAAGTCCAAAGGGAAACAATGGATTTTTCCACAAAGCTGTCCCAGTCTTCCCCATATTAGCACGATCATCTACCTAGCTGTTACAAAAAAAAGTCTAGGTAAAATATTTTATTCTTTTTTCCCATGCTTCCTATATCCAGTCCAACCATAACTGTTTGTTTCCACATTTAATGTATACCCTTAATGTGTCCTTTTTTATTCATTTCTATCTTAGTCTAAGCCACCATGATCTCACACATAGAATTTTATAACAGCTTCCTAACATTTACACTCCGATCCCTACAGCGCTCAACAGAACTAAAAGGATCTTTGAGAAGTAAGTTCTGAACCTGTCTTTACTGTGTTTAATATTATCCTGTGGCTCCCCGTTTCTCTTGAGATTAAGTTGAATGATGTTTTTGCCACAGGCTGTAGGACATACCTGATCTGACCCCCGTGCTGTCAGCATGTGCTACACCTCTCCTGCTCACTATGCTTTCCTCATGCTGGCCTTTGTTCCTCAAAGAAGTTGATTATCTCCTCCAGAAAAACTCTTCCCATGGCCATCTTGATCAATAGCATTGACACTGAGAACTGTCATTTATTTTTATGTATTTATTTTATTTTTTAAATTTACATTTATTGTCATCTCACATAGAATGTAATAATGATCTTGTCTGTTTTGTTGGAAATCCCTAGTGCTGAAAACAGAACATGGCACATAGTAAGGGCTTATTAAATATTTGATGAATGAATGAACCGAATGACCGAATGGCACGTCTAAGACAGCTTGACCCTGGGACTCTACCACAGGACAAATAATCACCTGTCTGGGATGATGCAGCTGCTCCCCTTCAGAAGGATGAATAAAAGGGCTGAGCTTTGAGGCCTATTTCAGCTGTGTCACTGGTCTGTTAGGGACCCACAGGTTGGGGTCAACTGCCACAATGGGAAAGAAGTTCTTTGTATACAATTTGGGATGAATTTTCTTAGCAGAATGAGAATCTGATGGTCGGAAAGGATCAAAGTAGTCCACTTTTCTCTTTGTTTTCTTGATCATTCAGAAATGCTGGGCAAATCTTGTCATTGTTGAATACTGCATAAGAGACAGTTAACTCTCATTGCGACGTGAGTTTTTAATGGAAAGGTTTTATGCAAGGTGGAATATGTCTCCTTGATGCATGGTAGTACTGTCTCACTAATGCAGGCTCTGAGACCAGGAGTCAAACAGTAATTTGTTTAAATGAAATAAAGCCTATTAGTCTTGCCAGTATTCACCTGTTCTGTTGTTTAACACCAACCAGATGATGTAATCCATTCTGTTCTTGTTTACAGGGATGTTTCTAAAGAGGCAATCAAACATTGCCTCAGTCTGTTCAGGAATAATAAGGCCATTGCCAGGGTCTTAATTATGTCAGATGCAGGAATTCAGTGCTTTACTCAGGAGAGTAAAGATAAAGAGGAAAGCTATCTGCTTTTTAAGGATGTTTCAAAGGATTTGCAAACATGTATCCTTAAAATAATTGTTACAGAATCAGAAACAGCTGTCTCAACAGAGAGAGTCTAAAATGGACCAGGGCTTTGGAGGTAGTTCCACTTTTCCTTTGGAGAGCAAATTTACCTGGTTTGCGAGAAAATGGAATTCTAGTTATTGGCTTCTTAAGAGTTAATGATGAAAAAAGAACAGGTTCTACTAAGGTCAAAGAACGAATGGGTTCCAGGAGGCACCAGTGTCCAATGTTCATATCTAATTGGAACACAAATGGGACTAGAAAGCAAATTTCCTCATGTTCGATCCAACATTCTTTTCTTATTAACTACCTTTATAGCTGGGAATGGTGTCCATTTCTTCTGGGAACTTAACTCGTTTTCACGTGATAAAAGAATATTGTAGTATGCTTTGCTGTTTAGGTATTCAAGATATACTAGTGCTTTGAGGGCTTCTGGTAAAAATTGCTACCCAGCGTTGAAATGGTATTGAAACGTTTAAACATCCCATTAATTATATCTTTGAGAGGTCCATGGTAAAGCTGGAGATTGTCGGACTTTTTAAAAAAGTTTCTTTTTTCTTTCCATGGTCAACCTTTCTAACCCCTACAAGCTGCTGTAACTTTTCTCATACTCTCAGTTTTCCGTTTAATAAGTAAAGCTTTATTTGTTTAAAATGGGTGATTTTTGGAAAAATATTCTTTTATATTTTCTGATTGCAAAAGTCACCTTGACTTCTCAGACTTTCAAAAAAAAAATGTGCTCATGTTTCTGAAACCAGGATGGCATTTTAAACAGATAAAGTACATTTAATGAGATTCTTTTCTCCTTCAAGATTTATTTGCTCGATTATGCATCTTGTGACTAGTACCTTACAGTGAAGAAATGTGTGCTATTAAAATATGGGGAGGGGAAGCAGAAAGGAAGGTTTTGATCCTGTTCATTTAAAATGTTTAACATTTTTCCATATTTTTTCATGGTGATTTTTTTCTGGGGGGGGTGTATTTTTTTAAAAAGAGATGGTAAAATAGTTTGTTTCACTTCACATTTCATGTATATGTGTGTTATTCATATATATAATATATATATTATATATATGTAACCTGACTTACTAACCTTGTTAATAGTTGTATTCTGTTATTCATTCATTCATTCGACCCTTCCAAAACTATTTTTTGAGCGCCTACTGTTGGCCAGCTCCCATTGCTAGCTTTGAGGGTGGAATGATGAATGAGGTAGAGTCCCTATTTCCAAGAAGCCGAAAATTGGGGGTGGGTGGGGCGCGGGATAGGGCCAGATTGTGGTAGCTGCTCCGAGGAAACGGGGGGGCTGAGGAAGCAGGTGGCGAAGGCCGGGCCCGGAGGGAGGGAGGCAGGGGCACCGCGGGGAGAGCGAGGCGGCCGTCCCGGCTCTGCGCCGCGCGGCGGGTCCCAGCGAGCCTGCCAGGCCGAGCTAGGCAGAAGCCGAAGGGCGCGGCTGGATCCCGTTGCCGCCGGGACCCAGAGAACAACAGCGAGACTGTATGCGTTACTTAATTGGAAGCCACTGGGTTAAGCAGAGGGCGGTCATCCGATCAAGTTTTAGGGAAGATCTCGGTGGTGGTGTGAATCTGAGGGTGATAACCGGGAAGAAGGAATGATAGTTTCCTATTCTAACTATCAACCTGAACCGTTTTCCCCCCTTCCTACCAGCTGGCGCATTTACTGGGCAGTTAGGGGCTATTCGTGCAACACCCTAAACCCGCACTAAGTACGGCGGCAGATGGAGCGGCAGCCACGCAGGAAGGAACGTGGGCCGGGCCAGGTCGGGGCCGGGGTGGGGCGGCAGACCAGGTAAAAGGCGAGTCGGCGGAGGACGTGCATTCACTGATTTTTATTTTTACTGGAGCGGATCCTATACAAAGACACCGACCGTTTATTTTGACTGCTCTCCTGCCACATTCTGGCTTCCGCCCCCGCACTCACGGCTACATGACCCCGCCCCGGAACCTTGTGTCACCGGAACTAGATGACGAAGTGCTTACGTTACACCGGCCGCAATTCTCAGGGGACGCTTCCGGCGAGGGAACATGGCCGCCCCTGTGGGCGACTCACGTGTGAGTACGGGGAAAAAGCCGAAAATTTCACTAAAGAAGAAGAAGAAGGTGAAAATGGTAGCCAGGACTGTAGCATCTGAGTTGGGAGATGAGGACCGAGACGCTGCTGACAGTGGAGGTACTATTACCGCTGAGGCTTGGCTGCTAAGGGGAAAGGCCGCGCTGAATTTGCGGGAGGCCGGGGATGAGAGTGGATTGGCCGCCAGTTTTATCTTGGGTTTGGCATCGAAGGCTCGACTTTGGCCCAGGGAGAAGCTTTAGGGGAGCTGGTGTTTAGGACAGGGACGCTGTCAACTGTGTGAGCTTTCATATTTTTTTACTACATATTTTCAACATCATTGTTATTAGAAGAAACAGCAGTAATAATTAGCTAACAATAGCAGAAAGAGAAGGGGAGGGGATATTTGATATTATGGGACTTAAAGGGAGCGAGGAGGAGCAGAAGGCCAAAAGAGGTAAGAGGAAGACGGCTGGCGTACTTGACTTTTCCTGTGCGGTAGGTGCGGTGTCAGTTTGGGACTTAGAGACCAGGTAGTGAAAGAGGAGTAAGTAGAGCAAATGAAAGTGGCAGTTGATAACGCTATGTCAGAGACGTTTGATACTGAAAGGAAGAAAATACATGAGACCTTCCACGGTGATGTGTCCATGCTGCTCCTCTTTACCATCATTCTTGACGTTAGCGTCTCAGGCTAGCTACAAGGAGCTGCGGAGGACCCCCGACATTCTGTTGACCAGTCCTCGTTAGAGCTTCTATTAGACAGAGCTGTTCTTGTATCGAACGTACCTCAGATCATTTGAGTTATCTTCTCAAGATGATCCAGTGGCTTCCATCTCAGAAAAACATCCTTAGCCTTAGTCTGTATGGTGTGGCTCCAGTTGTCTCATCATCTGCCACTCTGCTCCTTACAAACTGGTAACTGAAATCTGGCCACATTGATATCTTTGTGGTTTGTCTAATCAAACAGGGTCCCACACAAGGGTTTCTGCACTTGCAACTTAGCTGCCTAGAATACTTTTCAGAAGTTTGTATGGCTCTGTCTCCCTCACTTCCTTCAATCTCTGATTCAGTGCCTTATCTGCAAGACTTGTCCCTGACCACTCTGTCTAATGTACCACCACTACTCTTGCCTCCTTGCCTTCACTCTGACTTATTACCCTTTTTTCTGGAGAAGAAGTACTTCGTTTTCTTCAGAATTTCCCAAACCATCTGGCATGTATTGACTGTCTCTCTCTCCTAGCTGGAATGGAAGTTCCAGAAGAGTGTCTGACACATGATATAAATATCACTGCTGGCTGCTTGGTGGCTCTTGTAGCATGCCAGAACAATTGTCAGACACTCTTAGGGCTTGTACTAGGACTGTGAAGACAGAGAAGGGCCCCACTTGAAATGTTTTTCCGTAGGAAAGCTTTCAGTTTTCCAAGCAACCAAATCCCAGATAAACTCCGAGTACTCATAAATTTGGAGCATACTATATATACTCTTAGAGGAATTAGATAATAATAATAATAGCTCTATTTTTTTAGCTTAACTATATACTAGGTACTAGATCAAGTCCATTTACATATCACTTAATTCTGGCAACAACTCTGTTTAAATACTATTACCCTCATTTTACTTAAACTGAGGCACAAAGCAGTTATAACTTGCTCATTCTGTGCATAAGCTGATAAGTAACAATAAGTCATACAACCATGATTGAAGTTAGGCTCTACAACCAGTGCCCTTGACCATTACCCTGATATGGTTGATGAGGGACCAGAGGACATAAGACAATCAGTAAAAAACTATCCAGAGAGTGAAAGAACAGGGCTGTAGAATGAAGAAAGAAAGGATTGGGAATGAAGAGAGCTTGGTATTGAGACAAATTTTTCTTCCATTCAAGAAGATTATATCACCAAAGGGATATTTTTTTTTGTGATCACATTTGTATTGCATTCCTTCCAGTGCTTATGTAGTCTTCCTTTCTTTTACTCTCCTAAAATCTACATATAATCTCTAGAAACAAATTCCCACTTTCACTCAATTTTATAAGAAGCACCTCTGTTACTGCCTCTTGGAGTGATTTTGGGCTGGTTATTTATTTACTCCTACCTGGTTCAGTTTCCTCATCTATAAAATGGAGGTGACGGTAGTGTCTACCTCAGGATTGTGAAGATCAATGAGTCCATATGTCTAATGTGTTTAATGTTTGGCACACAGTACTTACAAATATTAGCATTAGTATTCGTAATATCTTTTTTGATGTAACAGAGAACTGCTAGTCCCATCTCTGATGCTGAATAAGCCTTCCAGCCTTTAGTAACAGTGATATTTGTAAGTTGGAGCTTTCTCCAAAAACAGAATTTCCTCTAGAAACCCTACAAGGTAGCTGATGGCTCTTCTGTTTTATAGACAAGGAAACAGAGACTTAGAAATACTGCTTCCATTATACCATAATGCCTCCCAGTGGAAAAGCGTTAAATCCATAGTTGCAGGATATTCTCTTGTTCTGCCCTTCTTATGCTAACCATTTAATCATGTGTGTGTGGTAAAATTCAGCACTAATAAGGATATTGACAACTATTAATTGTGCTTAGTTGTTTGTAGACCTTTAGCTTAAACTGCTAAACTGAATTCACAATTTCATTTCCCAAATATGGAATCCATGAATAATGAGGATGGCCCATGTCATTGTGAACTGGTAACAGCTTTTATACCCAGCCTTTGTGATCTGACTGCTGTATCCTGGGCACTCATGTATTGTCATTCTCCAGCTTACTAGTGGACATGACATTCTGAACTCCTTGTTGAGCATAGTATGCTCTCTCTCCTTCTAGCCATGCTTGTTTGTTATACTAGTATACTCTGTTTTTTCACTTTCTCTTAACCAGCTTTTCTGTATCCTTTAGGTTTTGACTTAGTTGTCTTCATCCACTTTTCCTTTTAGGATTTAGACTACTTCTGTGATAGAGATAAATAATAAAGAACCCTTTATTTAATACGTTCAGTAAATGTAGGTCCTTTGGTTATAAGATGGGACATTCTCCTTTGGTTTAATTCACAGTTTGCTGCTCAGTATAATAAATTGCTGTTTTCCTCCCATGAAATCAGTTATTTCAGGAAAGATGACCTATGAAAACAGTTTTTTTGTTCAGATATTTGTGTACATGTGGCCTTGGTAGAACTATTAAGTTTTAAAAAAGTTTCAGATAATGTATACTGAGAAATTATAAAGGTAGAAGACTGAATTTGGCTTCAGACACATGAAGAATCACTGTGCAAATTATAGGCTTATTAAAGTGTACTGACTTATTTTATCAGGAAATTGAATCAGACTCATCTTTTAATTAGATCCTAGAAATTGATAGGGATATGCCTTATAACACCTGAAAGCATCTTCCTTTAGCAAGATGCAACTTAAATTACATAAAAAATAAACAGGTATAACCCATGTGTTTTCTGAACTTTATTTTTCATATTCTGGCTTTAACTTCTTTTGACACATTATATAACAAAGATAAAAAATTAGGAGCAGAAAACTCTTCGATATTGTTTGTCATATGTTGCAGACATTTTTGTAGTTCTGTGAGGAGAGAACTTGATAGGTGTGATAACAGCTGTATCTCAGGATTTGGCATAATGCCTAATACACAGTATTAGTCAATATCCATTTATTCATTGAATAAATTGGAGACTTCTCTTAATGTGATTTTTACACTATTTTCTTGTGTACCAGATATCCTTGAGGGTAAAATTGACAGAAGTTGTATATGATGTAAACTTGAATGGTAGTGAAATGATTCAGACTGAATTTTTGGTAAATTGTAATACGCCAGCAGAGTTTGAAATTTGATAACAGTATAATCTTAGGTGACCATGAATCAGAGATATTGGAAGGTAAAATGCTATAGTTAGCCTTTTAAGTAATAGACAAATATCAAGTATTATAAAGGCAAGGGTAACACCCCTACCTGGATTAACCTTGAACTGCTCAGATTTACTGAGTTGATATTTGTTAAAGGTTTATATACAATATATATATGACTTTTAAGTTTATAGTCCTGAAAATCACACATATGCACATGCACACACACACACACACACACAGGCACACACAGCCTCCCTAGTTTGTATATCAGCTCAGATGAAGAAGTAAAAAACAGTGGTTGATGATACCAAGTATTGTGAAGAGAGGGTGATAATCTTTACCTCTGAGTTATCCTTGAACTACTCAAGATTCATTGAAGTGATCCATTGTCGGAGGTTCAGACACAATGCTCACTTGATTCTTAAGCTTCTAGTCTTTTAAAAAAATAAAGCAGTGGCCAGTCAGTCAACCCAGGTGAAAAACCCACAGCGCTGGGTTCGTCATGCAGCGCTGTGATGGGGCGGCTCCCCCGTCCCGGAACGTGCCCGTGTGACTGAACCAGTAGGGAGGAATGGGAATTCCATATTTTCTGAAGTGTGCTGGTCACTTGTATGAAAAGTGGCCAGATGTTTGTAATACAAGACTTGATAACAATCCAGTTTAGAAAGTCTTAGGAGCTATCCCTTCATTTTGATAAGCTACAAAGCTGTATAGAAGATATAAGAACCTGGCAGATAAATGTGCTTTTTATCAAACTGGCTTAGTACCTCCTTCATCATTTAAGTTACTTAAAATAGCAAAGGAGCATGTCTAAGAAATGAAGTATATCATAGACCTCCTTGAGTGGTTTAGCAATTTATAGAACAGACTCAGGAGACGGGCTACCTCTAGCCTCTGTATGCTTTGCTTGCCCAGGTGGCACGTGCAGTCACTTCGGGACACTTTGTCCCATGGTAGCACTTTCATTTTAATTTTGGTTATTTTGTATGGAGTCCTGAGATAACGTCATTTTTTTCAAAGGTAAGTGCTGTTTAAAAAGTTTTAAGACATCGATGATTTTCAACATTCTGAATTCAGTATTAATTGGCAGGAAAGATCAAGGAGCAGTGGTGCCACAGAGCTCTTAATTACTAGGGGATGTGTATTGTTAGGTAGACTCAGAGTGGGGATGAAGAATGGACTCTTCTAGTTAACTGAGACTTAGATAGAAATTCCTTTTTACTTCAAGCTTTATTAAACTAATGAATTTTACTGCATTTGTTCAGTACACATTAATCTGACTTGAATCTTTGATGCAGACCTTTTCAGTTCCTTAGTCAAACAGCCCTATCAATCCATTAACTTTGTGACATTGGGCATGTTTTTAACTTTTCTAAGCTTCAGAATAATTTCCTGTGTAAATAGGATAATAAAAGCTATTCATAGAGTATTATGAGGATTCAGTGATAATGCACAAGTGTTTTAAATAGTTTCTGGTTGTAAATTCATGTTAGCTAGTTAGCATGATCATTATTTTAGAGTACTTCGAAAAGTTGTAGGATAGAGACATTGACCACTTCTGAAAGAGTGAATAGTTGTGAATAGTAGCTTGCACATGATGACCCCCTGGCACATGGGTTATAGACTATAGACTGTAGATAAAATTACAGTGGAAGTAAAATTCATTCTGTTCCTTCTGCTTGGGGGCATCTTT